TTGGAGTTACTGACCACCTTATATATATATTCACAACTCGGAACTAGAGGTAATACAGCGTGATCGCTGATTTACACGTTTTACAGTTTACCGTTACACACGAATTAGGTTTCTCAGTCTTTATTAGTCGTATCCTGGCAACGGATTTCGTAACAGTCTTACTGTCACTTCAAATCACACACGAAGTCTTCTTTTCACAGCCTACTTTCTTTCGTGTTATTGTTCTGGACTCAATTCAATTCCTCTGATCCCGAGTGTCTCTACTCTTCATTTCACTCCATGCTGCCGAACACTTCTTTATAACAACTTTGCAAGAACCACGTAGATAACACAGCTTCTATTGTTAAGGAGGAGTGTTTACTGATTCGTTGTTTACCACTAGACGTCCTATTGTTGCGCGCATTTGCTTTAGAGGAAATGCGTTTACTGAGTCGTTGCCTAGCATTGGGTATACACGTCAAAATGCCACTCGAAGCTACAGAGTTCAGATAGTGACAGTATCGTTAAGTGAATCACAAAACAAAATTATTGCTACATTCACGGTGTAACAGAGCAATTTCTGAGGGGAATATTTAGCGGATGGGGGTATAGGATGCTGGGAAAAAATTACGTAATTCAAGCTCCATAAACCATACTCTTGGCCTAAAAGTAAACACGGAGAAAACAAAAAATATATTGATGACTGGTCATGAGAATGCACTACTAAATCATGACACAAATATATCCTTTGAAAACGTAGCAAAGTTTAAATATTTGGGAACGAGAGTAACAACTCAAAATTTGATGAGTGAGGGCATTAAGAGTAGGTTGAATTCGGGTAATGCATGACTCCATTGAGATCAGAATCTTCTGTCCCCTAATCAGCTGTCTAGAAACGCAAAATTTTGGGTATGAAACGTGGTAACACAGACGGAAGGTATCTGAAAACAATGTGCTGATCAGAATATTTGGATGAAGAGGAATGAAATGGCAGGAGGCTGGATAAAACTGCAGAGTGAGAAGCTTCTTAACTTGCTCTCTTCGGCAGATATAATTACAATGATGAAGTTAAGGAGAATTCGATGGTCATGGAATGCGGCACGCATGGGGAAGAAGAGGGAATCATACAGGTTTTTGGTAGGAAAGCCAGAAGGAAAGAGACCACTAGAAAGATCAAAACGTAGGTGGGTGGATAATATTAATATGGATCTTAGAGATATAGGATGAGGTGGCATTGATTGGATTAATCTTTCTCAGGATAGGGTACCAGTTGAGGACTTTTGTGAGCACTGTAATGAACCTTCTGGTCTCATAAAATATTGGGAAATTCTCCAGTAGCTGAGCGATTGGCGGCTACTTAAGAAGGGTTTTTGTTCAGTGAGGATTTTTTTATTTTTATTTTTTTTTATTCCTAGTGGGGTGGGACTAAATCCCTTGTACTGCGGCCACTTCTGGCCTATTGTACCAGCCCCAGATGATAGGTGAGGGTGATTGTGGAGCAATTGGTAGAATGAAGATTGGGAGGGGAAACCGAAGTACTCGGAGAAAACGTGCCCCAGCGCCACTTTGTCCACCACAAATCCCACTTGACCAGACCCGGAATCGAACCCGGACCGCCGCGGTGGGAAGCCAGCGACTAACAGCTTGAGCTATGGCGCGGCCCTTGACACAGTGGTTACTGGTTACTGTATGTGCTACCTGGTTCAACACACTGAATTTGACTCATAAACTGCATTTATGTGTTTTATACGATCTTCAGAACAAAAAGTGATTTTCGCTACACAATATTAATTTGTTTGTATTTGTAATGAAGAAGGACGGGGTTTTCTGCGACGTAGTAATCGCGCTTTTAATGGTTATTTAGATGAAGGGTTAAGCATACAAGGCCAGAACGTCATATCACACGATCTCGGTGCAATCATGTCTCATGGCCGGACCAAGAACTGCAACCAGGAAGGAAATAAGTAACTGACTAAAGACATTTCAGTCACCTCGGAGGCGTTAGGTACGAAGAGGAATGAAATTGAGTTTGTTCTAAACTACAGAAAATTATTTCATTCTATAAAGTTAGATAGGGTGCATCGTAAAAATTTAACTCCATAGCGATTTGTGAGTCATGATACAGGTTATATTAAGAAGCATATTTATTGAGCCGCGAATTGTTGACTTAGAGAGAGAGAGAGAGAGAGAGATGTAGCAGGCCAGATGGTAGCACACAACATCAGAGATGTACTGGAGAGTTATAAACAATAAGAGATTAGCGGTAGTTCTTGTAACGTGAATCCAAGTAACTCCACGGAACAAAGTCAAGGAACGGATTTTTGCTCGGTTATTCAAGGAAGACAAAGATTTTCAAGCAACCCGAATGTCAACTGTAAAATCCTGCCACTAGTCCGTAACCTGAGCCACATAAATCCAGTCTATATCCCCACAATCTGCTTCTTTATGGTCCAGCTTAATCTTATCTCCCCATTTACACGCTGGTCTGTGACGTGAGATTTTGTCCTGAAGATTTCCGTTTACAATTCTGTAACCACGTCAAAAATCCCTGCCTGAAGTTACCAATGAATATGGAGTTTTATTCTTGATTTTATATGTTCTTAAACTTTTAACATAAACGATTGTATTATATAGTAAGAGTAAAGTTGACTCTGAGGCAGTAAAGTGGTGGGATATGAAAACGATTCGCGTGTTTCAGAACAGGGACCACCGTCTGGCCCCAGTGAATCATCATCATCATCAGTAATCTGTCAAGACGACAGGTCCACAGTCTCTTCCAAAACAATTCCTCCACTTAACGCGATCTAGAGCTTTCTCCTTCAAATGACAGTATCCTCTTCTTCCTCGNCAACTGATCTTCTCCATCCTTCTCCAACACCACATTTCAAAACTTTCCAGATGTTTCTGATCTACTGCCCTAAGTGTCCATGTTTCAGCCCCATACAGAGCTATGCTCCAAATGTAGCATTTCACTAGTTTCTTCCTCAAATTTAAGTCAAATTTGCTGGTAAAAAGATTCTTCTTCTTGCTAAATGCAGCTTTTGCCATGGCAATCCTGGATTTAATTTCATTAGTGCACCTTCCATCATCTGTTAACAAGCTCCTAGTGAATATCGTAATGAAATTCGGGTGCCATAAAATGCTATGAATTTCTTAACTACTCGTATCTGAGCATCTAATAGCTCCTCAAGAGAGACTGTAATCCATGGAATCAGTAAATGTAAACAGTTTCATATACACATGTGAACATGCCATGAGATTCCCTGGCACTCAAGACATTTCTCATGGGGAGTGTTTCTGTGATGAATCAACTACTTGATTCCTCCAGGAACTTCCTCATCTCGTTGACATCTGTTCGCTGTTCGCATGTTTAAGAAATATCCTCATAAGATACGGTCTTTCGGGATGTGACACCGCCTCCATTCTCAGGACAGCAGTTTCCTTCTCAGAGGTGACGCCTATCTATATGAATACAAGTATTCGCATTCATGAATTATTGCTCCCAGATCCATTTTAATATTATAGGGCTATTATACTCTCACCTACGTGAAAATTTACAGCTGAATGAATTAAATCTAGTTTCCTACTCAGCGCTTGATATATTGAGTCTGGGGATTTTCATAATTAGAAGATACAGTGTTACCCTTTACTATTTCCTTTGTTAGGCATGCACCGACGTTTCGAAAGAAACTCCTCGCATATCTCTAGAGCATAAAGGTAGAAGTTAGAGGCAGCAGGTTTATCAGAAAGCCTACCAAACTACATGGCGTCTCTTCTCACAAGACAGTACACTCGACAGCCCGCACACCTGTGTCTGTGTTCCTGTACACGAGTGGGAAGAGGGTTGTGAACTGCTTCTCTGAAACAGTAAGGCAATTATGGTAGAAGAAAGAGGTTCAGGGCGGACTGTATGGGCAGACGATGCCCTTTGAGATTGCCTGCGCTCTGGACCACGTGCTGTGATGCGTATATCAGAGTTCTTCAACGGTACAGGAAACTTAAACATGGATATAATTATGCAATATTTAGAGCGATAAAAAAGAAAAGTAGGCGCTTTTTTGTGTCCTAGAGTTAAGCCCTTCCTAAAGAAAATGTTATTTGTTCTCTCAGCGTTATATCCATATAGGAAGAAACATATGTGATTGGTTTGATTTGTTTTGACAATATTGTAATATCAGTTGAAAATCCTAAAAGACGGTATTCTTCATAGCCACCGTCGTGAAAACCTCAAATGTTGCAGAAGTCTATTTATTTGTTATACTAAAACTTTCCTTATATTCATTTCTTTTCCTACTTTATTCCATATACCTTTACTATCCCTGTTATTTGTCCTTCTTACCCTCATTCATATTAACGCGTCTTCCTTCCCCTCCATTACGTTAAAGCAGTTAGGTAAATATTGATAAACACGTGCCATTTCTGCATAACAGCAACGGAATATATCAGACTTGCTACCTACTAATGTTAATTCAGTGTCTGTCCACAGACACGCTTCCTCTGTGAACACAAGCATTCATAAGTACTGACACAGTATTTATAATTATATACGACGTGAAAGTGTACACATGTGCCTTTTCAAGTGATGCGTCTAGGCCTTTTGTTGGTTAACGCCATCTCTGACACACTGGGAGTAACTACATCACCTGAGGGGGTGAAACTTAAATCCCCAAACTATTAATATGCTTACATAGACTAAAACTAAGCTCTGCAATTTGCATTACATCTGTAAATATAGAATTCTAAGAGTGAGAGTGTTCTGCTGTCTCTCTACATATAGCGGGAGGAATCTCAACTAAATATCCTGCCATCTATTGCGATTTGCTTCCAATTAGTACAGTAATTACAGATATCACTTTCGTTCGTTCATTCCACGAACGTCTCAGTTCTGTCATGAGGTTTTTGTATATCATAATTTTTCCGTCTGTTTTCATTTTTATGTTTTGATGGTATTGCGTGGCTCTGATCAAACATCTGAATGAGAATTGGTGACAAAAGACGACAATTTATTGTGTTGCAGGGCGTCATCCCTGGGAGGAGGTTGCACCCTTTCTCCCCGATGAGTGGTGCTGTGGACACCTCTCATGCGTGGTACTGTTACTACCCGCGAATAGCGTCTCTGCCCCATGTGAGGACCATCCCCAGCAAGATGCGTGAGAAAGACTCCAGCCCTCGGAAAATGCTGCTTTCTTCTAGCGGACATAGCTCCCCCAAGCAGGCGGCGGTGTATCCCCTTTCCATCAGGATGCCTGAAGATGAGCCGCAACACAACGCAGCTGATGAGATGCCGTTCGATCTGTCCCGCAACACACGGTCTGCAGGCCCACATATGTCTCCGGCAGGAAGGCCGCCTCCCGGACCGGTTGATGAGAAACATGACGATCAGCCACTTGACCTCCGGGTGGAGCACAAGAAGTTGTCTCTCGTCATGGTGCGCAGGAGGATAGAGGACGAAAACCAGAACCTCATCCTCCGCTCTCCATCTCCTTACTCTCCACCCCCCGAGAAGGAAACTCAGCAATACCAGAGAAGGGAACACGATAAAGAAGAAGGAACACGGCAGCAAACGCCTCCCAACCCTAACATGAAACCTTCGTCTCCTAGTATAAACCCATATCCCGTTCTCTTCTCGCATCAACCTCTCCACCCCATCATGCTGGAGGCGATGTACAGGGCCGGCAAAGACGGCCCAAGATTACCAATGTCATATCCAGTCAGCCCTCCAGGATACCCTCAACCGCCAAGGCCCTACCCATTCCTCAACCCCAACTTGCTCAACGGTCATCAGTCTTCACCCTCTGGAGTCCCTCCTGCACCACCACCATTCGACGTGTTAAGATCTCATCACCAACACCCGGCTCTTCAGAAACAATACCATCAACAAGATCCTCAGCCCAACGGCATTACACCAAGTCCTGGGGCTGGTAAAATCAAGGACCGCTACGCATGTAAGTTCTGTGGCAAAGTGTTCCCCAGGTCTGCCAACCTGACTCGTCACCTGCGTACCCACACAGGGGAACAACCGTACAAGTGCAAATACTGTGAGCGATCCTTCAGTATCTCGTCGAACCTGCAACGCCACGTGCGTAATATCCACAACAAAGAGAAGCCTTTCAAATGCCCTCTGTGCGAGCGATGCTTCGGCCAGCAGACCAACCTGGACCGGCACCTCAAGAAGCACGAGGCCGATGGTCCTACAATTCTGGACGACCGCAGGAGCCCGTCTGTACCCCGAGTTCGGTCAGCACTATCTCTGACACAGAGCGTCATTGGGGACGAGTCCTACTTTGAAGAAATACGTTCCTTCATGGGGAAGGTAACGACAGATGGGAGAATGATCAGTTCCCTGAATCAGCATCATCGAACGTCTATTCCTGCACCAGGTTATCATCTAAATCACCAGCCACATCGGAGTATGAGTACAGAACCTTTAGCACGACGGTGTAACTCTCCTCAGCCCATAGACACTCAGAGCAGAGAAATCCATGAAGACGGGAAGAGAGGACGGTCTTTTTCTAGTGATAAAGACAATTTTTCGTCTCGATCATCGTCCTCTTCTTTAGCAGGGTCTTCGCTATCTCCTCCACGCACTGCCTCCCCTCCTGCCCCACTCGCACCTAATCATCTGTCGCCAACGCCCGAAGCACCGACCAGCCCTGAAGAACTGTCCTCGCCTACTAACAACACCTGAGATACACTTTCCATTTTAACTTTCGCGAGTCTAGGCGCTGTCTCTCTTCCTCTCTCTGATTCCGTCGCAGCACTTTGAAGAAATCGAGAGCAGACCCTGAGGCGAAGTGGTAAACTGGCAGGGCGTGGCGAAAGTGTAGCAAGGAGCTTCTGGTGTCACCACGAGACCCGGAACGAGGTGGGCCCACTCTCCTTCGTATCAGACCAACGCAAGAAACTATAGCCCGCAGCGGTTATATTAGAATTCTCCGGTATGTTTGCATTTCAGAAAAAGAAGATGCATAATTCATTAGAAAATAAAACTTGACGGTGGAGGAAATAAACGTTGATGTGAAAGTTATCATCTCATTTATGAATTTGAATCGGAAATGTAACTCAGCACTATAATTCATGGGCGCCCATTAGAATATCAATAATATTGGGTACCAAAATGATTACGGAATAAATTATGAATAAATTTTATACGAAACAAGCAGAAGTACACATTCCTTTCCGGGGATATCGTTGCTCTCCTTGCCCTTATCACAATATATTTTACTTAAAATTTGAAAGCGGGATTAACAGATTAATTAATTAAAGTTCTCCCATGCAATTAAATTAAAATGTTGAGAATGATGTATTGTATCACATCCCAAACCTCTACCGCAACAATCATTTGAACCGTAGGCGTTGTCATATATATGGAGTAAATTTCATAATAATTTTGGATGTTCTCTACTAGGGCCGCGGCGGGAAGCTGACAGGTGACAATTTATGTGTATTGCAACACAAAATTGTGCAATCACTACAGATATTTTCAAATTTCTAACCAACACTCTTTCAGAAAATATTCACGGTTTACTATACTGAGTGAATGCTTTATTACAAATGCATTAAGATATGTCCTGTCCGATATTTTCGGATCTATTAGTCGCTGATTGGGACTGGCCGAACAGCTGGCTCATCTGTTTAAGAGCTCCGTTATGATAAATACGCGCTAAGATAATGGACTTGTTACTTCTTGTAATCACAACACGACTTACATCACATCGCCTGCTATGCTTCAAGTTCTTTCATTCCTTCCCATTTCCCCTTTACATCTTTGTACTTGAAAAGATTTCTGTTTCCATGCTTATTTTATCGTGCATGCAGTTCCTCGCCCCTCTTACCTTTACCTCCAATAAATGGCAATACTTACTTATGGAGCTGATCCCCTCTTGAGGAGAAGCCAAATCTGCAGCTACTCAAGAATTTCCCAGCATTTTATGGAACCCGAAAGTTCATTACCGTGTTCACAAAAGCCCTCCACTGGTCCCTATCCTGAGCCAGATCAATCCAATCCATACCGTCCCATCCTATCTCTCTAAGATCCATTTTAATATTGTCCACCCAACTACGCCTTGGTCTTCTCAGTGGTCTTTTTCCTTCTGGCTTTACCACCAATATCCTATATGCATTCCTCTTCTCTCCCATTCGTTCTGCATGCCCTGCCCACCTCATCCTCCTTGACTTGATCATTCTAATTATATTTGGAGAAGAGTAAAAGTTATGAAGCTCCTCATTATGGAGTTTTCTCCAACCTCCTGTCACTTCATCTCTTTTCGGTCCAAATATTCTCCTCAACACCCTGTTCTCAAACACCCTCAATCTATGTTTCTCCCTCAATGTCAGAGACTAAGTTTCACACTCATAAAGAACCACAGGCAAAATTATAGTTTTGTATATTTTAATTTTTATGTTTTTGGACAGCAGACGTGAAGACAAAAGGTTCTGAACTGAATGGTAGCAAGCATTACCCGAGTTCAGTCTCCTCAAATGATAATCACTGTATAAATTAGTTCGATCCCCCAGTTCCTGAGATGTTCTCCCGGACACACCATTTACGGAAACCCGCAACACAATTTGCAGTGCACACTGAGGCGAGGTGCTCATACAGCTAATCCGTTCCGCAGAAGTATGTCGCATTCATTTCATCCTTTGAATAATGAATTTCATCTAAATAATACATAAGAATTAATTTCCTACCTCACAGAGAAAGAATTTCGTCTCCATTACAAGGACCAGCCGGTTAATATTATTTACGGAAGCAATCGCTATTTCATACAAAACGCAGGCTTTGTAAACTCTGAAGTAGGCGGTCTGTACAGATATTTAAAGTGTTCGTGCTATATTTAAAAGAGCTTCTAATTCTCTGCAGCTTGTCTCTTGTTAGATGGGGGATTGTGTTACAAAGTAGCTTTGGAATTCATGAGAACAACTGAAGTTGAACGCATGCGTAAAACAGTCCAGTTCTCTTCATCCAACAAGGGGCCGCTGTTAACAGGTTTAATAAGCTAAGTCACCTCAGAAGAGTCACTGTCTTAAATAGTTCTACGAGCTAATCACGTTTTCACTTTCAAACTGAACCAGATTTTTAAGTGGAAGTAAAACAAAAAAGAAAAAGAACGTGGATATACATAATTGTTTATGCACAACACAAAACTAGACCACTTGAAGAGGAAATAAGGGAAGGAGTGCAAAGTTGTCTGTCCTCTTCAAGCATCATTTTCAGTTCATCGTTCTCTCTCTCTGTCTCTTCAGCGAGATAGCTTTCATCAATGATCTTGTCGCTTAAATCACAAACCAAAATGACGGGGAAAGTTTTACGTGTAGAGAGCCTTGCTGTAACACGACAAGTGCGCAGTTACAGGAAAAAAAAAAAATAAAACTGGAGCAAGAGAACACCCGTCTGTCTCTTTGCCGCTCTCGTCTCCTCCTACGTGGACATAGTTCGAGACCTCAGACATACGTGCAGTTAGTAGCACTTGCCAGTGCTTTAGTGATCGCTTCATTGTATTGCTCAAGAAAACAAACCAGTAGCGGTTCCACCGTCCTCATGAACAAAATAATACAAATTTAATTTTGACGTATTGGAAATTTTAAATTTGAATGTAAGTTGATCCTTTATTTCTTGAATTAATTTTATTTAAAATGTATTACGATGTCATTCTAATGATGCAATTGCACACGTATCTAATATTCTTACACAATGTGCCTACAGAAATCATCTCGCCATACACAGACTTCTGTTTCGTGAAACAGTGGCGTCAGGTAGGCCGTTCGTAAGCACATACCAAACTGTACGTTGTTATAACCCAGAAGACGCTAATATGGATCTTCGCTGAAATGAAAAAAGGCAAGACTTATATTATCTCAGCTGATTTCCAATTTTAGATTTCGCAGCTGGAAAGAGAGTTAATCTGTAACAAACTTCTACTTCCGCTCTATGATGCAATAAAAGACACAGGCTCTTCTTCAAAGACGAAGAGAGTGAAGGATATATTTTTCTGGCTAATCTTCAGCATGGAAACCTGTCACACCTTTCCTTTTAATGCAAATGAAACAAGGTGTACGGGAACTTCCTGAACACTCTGAAGTCTGCAGCTCATCTATACAATATTTAAAACTTCATCTTCTGTCTCACAGAAAGGGCTGGGACAGCTCAGTCAGTACAGAATAGGCTATGAGCTGGACTGTCGAGGTTCGATTCTCAGCAGAGGCAAGAGACTTTCCTTTACTCCATGTTGTCCAGACTGGCTCTGGGACCAACCCAGCCTCCTGTCTAAACAGTGTCGCGGTTTCTTCCCCTGGGGCTAAAGCGGTCGAAGTCAAGAATGGTGGAGCTATACCTCCATTCTCCCATATATTTTCATGGCGTGATGCTTCATTAATTAAGGACAGAAACAAGTTCTCTTTACCTTAGCATTCGTGTCTCAGAAATCACACTGTACCTGCATTACAATACCGATCTGATAATGCTGTTTACGGAAATGTTCGCTGTTCATTATGAGAATTCTATGATGCGAGCAAACGAAATTTGTTTGCGAAATGCGAGGATTTTTCATGTTAAACCACGTGGTATACACGTAACTACTATGTTACGAAGAATGAAGTCTGTATCATGCACATACATCAGACCTCGTAAAACAATGCATTGCGTTGAGGAACGTTGTGTTATATGAGCTCCGGCTTCCGAGGGTCAAAGTTCGGAGAGATAGCAAGTCCAAATAAAATTAAACCACGACCGTTCCCTTCGACAGTGTTTTGAATTAATTATTAATTATCTAATCTGAGGCATTCGGAGCTTCGCTAACTAAATCGTAAGTAAATAAATAAAAACGTGAAATTAGGCTCACTAAGTGGCAGAATTCCTTGATTTATAAACACAAACGAAATACATTTCACTTAATTACAAGCATAGTGACAATGCTGAGTCTGGGTTCATTTGTATCATCAGTGTTTTTTTATTATTATTACTAGTGGGGTGGGACTAAGTGTCTTGTACTGCGGCCACTTCTGGCCTATTGTACCAGCCCCAGATGACAGGAGAGGGTGATTGTGGAGCAATTGGTGGAATGAAGATTGGCAGGGGAAACCAATGTACTCGGAGAAAACCTGCCCCAGCGCCACTTTGTCCACCACAAATCCCACTTGACCAGACCCGGGATCGAACCCTGGCAGCCGCGGTGGGAAGGCAGCGACTAACCGCTTGAGCTATGGCGCGGCCTTGTATCATCAGTTACATAACTTTTTAGTCCTTCTATGTCACATAGAACAATGCTCGAAATAAGTTTTTGCTGCTTGTGCTAAAGTCACCCAGTTGATTTTCCGCTCGATACAATAATATTCTTACCTTTTCAAGTCGACGTTAAAAACAATTACAAAGTAGAAATTACTTATAAGCACCATCTCTACAACCTAGTTTTAAAATCAACAATTTTTAACTAGAGTAATCTCATTCCCATCTCAGTTCATATCCGTACTTGTTACAACTTGTCCAGGAAGTAAAATAAGTCAGATCAGCTTTAAATGTATCTGTACTTTTCCATTGGATTAATCCATCTTATGAAATGCGTAATACGGCGAGGCGTTTTTTTCGGTACAACTAATTTCCAGTTTTCCGAAAAGAGAAGCGCAGTGATTTTATTGGATTCCTTTTTCCTTCTTTTTCATTCCTCCTCGTGACCGGCTGTCAGCATTCCTGAGGTTTGACGGAAAGGGGACTAAGTTACTAAAGCCATTTTTCAACACACGAAGAAAAAGTCTTAGATATTTTATGCAGCAACTATTTAACTTTGTATTTCAATGTGTCGCTGAACCAAAGTATTGTGTTAGTGACATAAAGCTTTTCTAAATTCATTCCTTTTGTGAGGGGGATGTAGTTATCTAGTTTTGGCCAATTCTTTTACTTGACTCTACTTTCCGAAACACCACAGCGGTATCCTTGAAAGCCACTCCAGCCTGGTAAACTATTTCTTTAGGCCAAACGTTCTATTCATTGTTGAAAATAAAACAACACCTTAAGAAGCATGCCTGCCCGGCTGATTTCGCATTGGAAAATAAACGTTTTTCAGCATTATGCCATTTATCATTATCATAAAGGTTTGGACCTTTCGATCTCTTCCATTCCCCTGGAAGTTAAGTTGATCCTTACAGGTTAACTATAGCCAATTAACTCTTTTGGAGTGCGTTCAGTTGCATGAACGGCGAATAAATTACATGAAATTTACAAACAAGGGGAAACAGGATATATGAGTCCTATTTCATAACAGCCAACCAAGGAACAAGAGCTGTCAGGGATAATATTATTCAGGTGTTACACTGGGTTTAGATTGGTAATTACGTTGATCTCCCACCTATATCTCGCAACTACACACAACATAGCGTTATCGCTAAATCAGACACTTTGCAGTCCACTACAGCACGTACTAAGTCTTTTCAGTCTGATGTCTTTAACAGTCGTTGCCTGGCAACGGTTTCCAACGGCAGACATTCCCCCTACTCTGGGTTCCCGAACTATCCCCTTATGTCAGCTACCAGCTTCTAACAGCAACAGCTCACAACGACTAACTGAAGTTCTCTGACTAACTCACTAACTGACCAACTAATTTTTAACTTCCCTACACTGCATTGTACTAACTCTCACTAACTGTCCTGCTTGTAATATCTCGGCAAGGATAGCATAGAAAACGCCGTTTCTCTGTTGTTTAATTGTTGCTTTAGCGGACCGCATTGAAAACACCGCTTCCCAATTAGTCCATTGGTGCATGTTAGGAATCTGTTCCATAGCAACGGGCGTTGTTTACAGAGTTATAAGTTAGCAACCAGTCTACATGCTACAATATTATAAATAATAACTGTATAAATGGCAAGGATACATTCTGCTCACGTGTGTCTCTCTAGAAGCCATTCAGTACCACATGCATCACAAG